CTCCCCCCCACGACTCCACTTGATGTTAAAGAACACGGAGAGGAAAGGTTAGACGCTTTTCTCGTTTCTTTGGTAATGTCGGCGACGCTTAGCTTGCTTTGACGTTTCGGTTCTGTTTCCATTGTATATATACATATACATATATATATATATATATATATATATATATATATATATATATATATATATATATATAAATATATATACATATATATATACATATACATATACATATATATACATATATACATATGTATGTATGTATGTATGTATGTACATATATATATATATATATATATATATATATATATATATATATATATATATATATATGTATTTATAATTATATTGCACACACACACATATCGCTCCGTCTACCTATCTTCCCTTTCTATACCGAGCATATGCAAGTGAGTGCAAGATCTCTCTCCAGGCAGAACAATGCTAATTAAAGCACAGTGCAAGAAAAATCGAATCTGTTTACCTGAGGCCCTTACGTGATAGAATGTACGTGCACGCACATACATGTACAAGCATTGTTATTGCAAGGAGGCGTAAGTGCGGTGTATTCTTCCCGACCTTGCTGGAAGGTCTTGCACAGAAAAAAACTCTTTGTTAACTTGAAATCAGGTGTCTAGTCTCGCGCGCGGAAAGGAGGCCTTGATTCAGTTTTGTAATCGTCCGCTGGCAGTCGTTGAACTGAAGGAGAGGCGGTGCTCGTGCTGGACGCCGAAGAGGAGAGGTTCATGAGCCGTGGCTTTGGGAGTCGTGCTTCTCTCTCTCTCCTTTTCTTTCTTCTCTCTCTCTCTCTCTCTCCTTCTCTCTCTCTCTCTCTCTATCTCTGCGTGGGAAAGAGAGAGAGAGAGAGAGAGAATGAAAGAAAGAAAGAAGAAACAGATTATATCGGCGACTATGTCTATCTCTGTGTGTGTCATAGAAACAAGCAAAGGGAGGGGCATAAAGAGAAATATTAAGATGGGCATAGAAAGAGAAAGAGAAACCCAGAGAAAAGATAGAGCAAAAGTCACCGTCATCAGCCCGCGTGCCTTCATAGCCTCCCTCCCATCTCTACTCAACCTCCCCCCCCGCCCCCCACGCTGGCCACAGCCCCCTCCTCACAGGAACTCCTCCGGATCCTCCTTCGAGCAGCAGGCGAGAGAAAGTGACGCCGCGGATAAGAATATTCGAGCAGCTTCGGCAGGGTTCCAAAAGGGCTTCCGGCTGCTCACGCTTCGGCTCCTGGCTCCCGCGGCCGGGGGGGGGGGGGGGAGAAGGGGAGGGAGGGAGTGAGAGGGAAAGATGAAGGAGAGAGAGAGAGAAAGAGACAGAGACAGAGAGAAAGAGAAGGAGAAACGGCGGAGAGGTGAAAGGAGAAAAAAGAAAGGGACCATAGGAAAATCTTAGCAAGAAAAGTAACAAAATGAATTTTTAAAAAATGAAAATCAGAAAGGAAAGAGACGGCCGAAAGAAAGGAAGATTAAGAAGGCCAAAGAGCGGAATGAATGAGCAAGCAGTCAGATAGGACACGGCGGCACGAATGAATGAGGCATCGACGCCCAAGGACATCTCTTCCGCGCCTTTTTCTGAAGTCTTCGGCCGTCGGCTTTTCCCGAAGGTCCTATCCCATCCGCTTTCACTCTCGCCCTCTTTGTCCGGCTTCCTTTCTTCACATAAATAACTTTCACTGCTGGAACCTTTCCCTTGAAACGTTTCTTCCAGGTGTCGTATGGTCATATCCTTGTCCCCTCTCCCCCCTCCCTCCCCTCTCGACCTCTCCCCTCCCCTCTCCCTATGCCCCCTCCGCCTCCTATCAGTCTCCTTCGCCTAACATCTCTTACCTCTTCCTCCTCTTTTCTCCTCCCCCCCACTTCTTCTGTCCTCCTCCTTCATCTTCTTCCTCCTCCTCCTCCTCCTCCCTCCTCTTCACTTCCTCCCCCTCCTCTTCCCCCCATTTCTTCCATCCTCCTCCATCTTCCGCCTCCCCCTCTTCTTCTCTCCTACTCCTCCTCCATCCTCCTCTCCTCTCTTCTTCCGTCCTTTTCCCTCCTCCTCCCCCCTACTTCCCCTCCCCCCTCCCCATACCCTTGGACAGGTAGCGGTCGTTGTAGACAAATGACCGTTTGACGTAAAACTTATTGCGTCATTCCCTTTCTATTGCCATGTGAGGTTTATTTTTTTACTTATTTATTTATGGATGTATTTATTGATGTGGGTTTTTGTTCTGGGATGGTTTCCTTTGTGCTTGTCTAAAAGGGCAATGGTTACATATGAATAAAACATGTACTTGGACACTGAATTGGAAGACACAAATACACGCCCCGACTAAACACTGACACGCACACACACACACACACACACGCATGCACGCACGCACGCACGCACACACACGCACACACACACGCACGCACACACACACACACGCACACACACACAAACATACATAAAGAGAGAAAGAGAAAGATAGAGAAAGAGAAAGATAGAGAAAGAGAAAGAGAGAAAGAAAGAAAGAAAGAGAGCGAAAGAATAAATTTGGAATTCCCCGGCCTTGAAAGCATCAATTCCATCCCCTCTCTCTCCCTCCCCCCCCTCCCACTAGCCCTTA